TCCCCCATTTTAATCACATAGTTACAGTCATTTAATTATATTATTCCCCGTGGATACGATCCTTGCTCACGCTACTATATATATTCAAGCAAGGTTAATTTGGGTGCCTACGACAACACGACCAGAAGGCCGACCCAAAGTTTCTCCCCGCGGCATATTCGTTCTCACCTTCACCCTATGGCCCAGAAAATACGGCCGCAACTTCCTCACCGTTACCACCACTGCTAAAGCACACTTCTCGATCTCCGAATATTTCCTCTCCGCACCCTGCATTATCTTGCTTACGTAATAGATTGGGAATTGCACTGTGCCCTCTTCCCTTAACAAGACTGAACTCACTGCCGCTTCCCCGATCAATATATATAGCACTAGATCCTCCCCGGGGATCGGCTTAGCCAATAGAGGCAGATTTGCCAACACCTTCTGCAACTGCTCGAATGACCTCTGGGCCTCCTCTGTCCATTGGAATTTCGAGCTCTTTCTCAACGTTCGGAACAGAGGACCGCTCTTCTCCGCCACCTTCGATATGAAACGGCTCAGGCCCGCGATCCTGCCCGTCAGGATCTGCACCTCCTTTACCTTTGTGGGCGGTTTCATCTCGATCACCGCCCTCACCTTCTCCGGGTTGACCTCGATCCCCCTTTTTGTCACCATATATCCCAGAAACTTTCCTGACTTCACTCCAAAAGAACACTTAGCGGGATTCAGTTTCATGCCATACCTCCGCAAAGTTGAGAACGTCTCTCTTAAGTCACTCACATGATCGGCCTCCACCTTACTCTTCACCAACATATCATCAACATACACCTCCATATTCCTCCCCAACTGCTCTTTGAAAATTTTATCGACCAACCTTTGATACGTCGCACCCGCATTCTTCAATCCAAAAGGCATCACCACGTAATAGTAAGTGCCCCTACTCGTAACAAAACTCACCCTCTTCCTATCTTCTCGAGCCAAGGGGATCTGGTGGTACCCCTGGGATGCATCCATAAGACCGAGCAACTCACACCCCGCGGTAGAATCCACCAGCTGGTCGATCCTGGACAATGGATATAAATCTTTCGGCCATGCCTTGTTTAAGTCACGAAAATGAATGCACATCCTCCACAAACCCTAACATGACCCGCCTTTAATAACTTCTCAACCTCCTGCTCGATCACCTTGTCCATCTCTGCACCATGGTGTCTCCTCTTCTGCTTCACCGGCCTCACCGTCAGATCAATATTCAAACGATGTTCGATCACCTCTGCCTTTATCCCCGTTAACTCGCCGTATATGCAAAAACATCCGTGAACTCCCTGATCAGCTCGATCAGTCTTGACCTTAGGGGCTCGTCGATCTCTTTTCCCATCCGGAACTTCCTCGCCTCGCATCCTTCCACCATCTGGACCTCTTCGATCTCCCCTCCTGGCTGCATCTCCACCTTCTCCTTCCCTTTATCCGCTTTCTCCTTTTCCTCTCTCGACCTCGAGCCCCCAGGTCGGTTCAGCATTTCCTCTTTGAGCTTCACCTTCTTCCTTGAGAGCTGCTTATTGTTGCTTACCGTGGTTTGATAACAACTCCTCGAGGTAAGTTGATCTCCTGCGACCTCACCAACGTTTTCCCCCACCGGATATTTGATCGTCATATGGTACGTCGACACGACCGCCTGGAATGCATTCAAACTGGTCCTTCCCATGATGATGTTATATGATGATTCTGCTCCAACAACCACAAACCTCACCATTCTCACCTTTCTCGTCGCTCCATGTCCTAAGGCAATAGATAGGCTCACCTCTCCCATTAGCATCACCTCGCCTCCATTAAATCCGTACAAGGCTGTGGTCACCGGCTTCAGCTCAAGGTTAAGCTCCTTGTTTATCTGCACAAAACAATCATAAAACATTACGTCCACCGAACTCCCGGTATCGATGAACACCCTCTTCACATCGAAACCAGCTACCTCCGCCGTTATCACTAGCGCATCATTGTGGGGGCAACACCACTCCCTCTGCATCCTCTGCCCGAAAACTTATCTCCGGTGTCCGAGCAGTGATCCCCACCTCCTCTCTCTTTCTTTTCATCGCTCGAACATTGCCCTTCCTCGCATTGTTCGAGTCCCCGTCAGTCGGGCCCCTTGAAATCATATAGATTGTCCCCCTCTTCACAGGGCCCTGATCCTCCTAACCTCCTTGGTCTCTACTCCCTCGCCTCATTTTGCCTCCTCGATCACCTCTCCCTCCTCGAGGCTCATCTTCCTCATCATCATCTCGGTCACTCCGCTCCACCGAATCTTCCCGACATTTTCTTTATCCTTCCCTTTTGCCTTGTCTTCATACACGAACTCCTTAAGATACCCCGCCCTAATAAGGCACTCGATCTCATCCTTGAGGTGTCTGCACTTCTCCGTCGTATGCCTATAATCTTTATGGAAACGGTAGTACTTCCTCGACCTGGGTTGTGTCGGCCCCTCACGCCTCGATTTCGGCCATGTCACGTCCCTGTCCTCGATCTTCTTCTCAATAGCCACCAGCACTTCTCCCATTTTTGCATTCAGCAGCGTAAAATTATGGAACCGCTTCCCTTCAAACACTGGTCGATCCTTCCACCTGTCCTCTCGCCCACGGTCACTCCTGCCACGTCCCTCTCTCCTGGGCGATCTCCTCCCCGGTGACACCCTTCGGGGCGAGTTCGCCTTTCTTTTCTTCGGCTCCGCCTTAGCTAATTCCTCCAACTTAGCAAACTCCGCCTCCGTCTCCTCCAGGTTAATATACTTCTTGCACCTCTTCAAAACGTCGTCATACATACGAGTAGGGGTTTTGGCTAAGGATGTTCGACAGGGCACTGCTCGCAGACTCTTTATCAACCCTCCAGCCTTCACCTCGTCCGCAGCCGTGGGGATCTCCAAACAAGTTTGATTATATCGCGCAACATACTTGCGCAGCGACTCTTTCTCCCCCTGCCTCATGGCCATCAGCGTCAAATACGTTTTCTCCTATGCCAAAGCACTCGCGTATTGGGTCATCAGCTTCTCCGCGAAATCATCAAAGTCCTTGATCGATCCATGAGGGAGCTGCTGGAACCAATCGAGCGCGCCTCCTCCCAAGGTCGATAAGAATGCCCTGCAGCTAACAGAATCAGAATAACCATGTAACACAACCAAATTCTCAAACGCCCTTACGTGCCTCGACGGGTCAGTGGTCCCATCGAACACCAAACTCATGTCTCTAAAATTCACAGGTAGTGGTGCAGCCAATATATCCCTCGAGAACGGATGTCCTCGAGCACGCCTTTCAGTTCGACCGTCCATCTTAGCCTGCATCTGCCTTACCCGCTCCGCGAGTCTCTCCACCTCCCGATCTCACGGGGCTCCATCTCCTCCATAGCTAGACACGTCCTCATCCACCATCGTTGGTCTAGCAGCCACTCGCGAAAGGCTTTGAGTGACTTGCTGAACCGCTTGTGCCGCCGCGTTCACCACCATCTGCTGCATCTCTTGCCTGGTCATCACCACCTGCTGGCCGGGACGCGGCTCCTCCACCGGCGGCGGTACTGCTCCCTGCACCACTGCTCCTTGCTGCAGCATCACGGCCAGATCTGGTTGCAGCGGCGTTGGGATCGCCGCTCTTGGAACTGTATGGGATTCCTGGGCCCGGCTTGAGCCCACGTCAGCCTCTGGTTGCACCGGCGTGACTCCTACACCTTGGGGAACGGGCGTCGGAGTCACAGGTGTACGCGAGTGTCCAGAGAAGCCCGGGGGAGGGCCTTCTCCAAACGGCCTCGTCATCGTCCACGCGTCGATACTTGCAAATCTCTTCTAGGAATTCCGTCCGCCATAGCCACCAAGTTTCAGAAATCTCAGCACACCACTTTTCGAACGAAAGTCCCACAGACGGCGCCAAATGGTAACGCAAAACACTCCGACCGGCTTGAAATCGGTCCGCCTTCCTCTTCCTTGTCGGTAGAACGCCACGCACCTACACAGAACTCTCACACCGGAGGGGTTTTCTGGGGAAGAGCCTCCGATGCTTAAGTCAATATGTGTTTGTTCAATTTTCCAAAGTAAAGAATGGATAAATCGTAAGTCATAAAAAAAGACCCACTCCCATATATATAGGAGTGAGATACCTGCCCTAGGAACTGCCCGGCTTTTGGTGAGCTTTCCTACCCATACTGCCCGTCCGTACACACATAGTGTGCGTGTGTCAGAGATGTCAAGGGTTGCTTTCGCCACTATCGCTCTGCACCAATGTATTCTCGCCACGTGTCCCTCTGAGCTGAGGGACATTATTCTTCTGCGTAGGCCGTTGGGATCTTCTAACGCCATCCACGCGTCTTCTTGCATTCAAGCCACGCTCTCGACTACTCTCCACCTGTTGTGTGCTCGATCTGGTCGAGCCCCCAATCACTAGGTCGATCCTCGACCAGTTCTGCTATTCTGCTAGATCTCTTCCCTTTTGGTTGATCATCCTTCAACCAAGGCGGTTTTCTCTATCTCGAGCTTGCCCGACCTATGCGGTAGGCCGGTCTATTCCTTAGTCATATAATATCCCATATCACATTTGATAACAGATGGCATCTGCAGTATGTGTCGGGAGACTATTGAAGATTTGGACCATATTTTGTTTAACTGTTACAAAGCTAAACTAGTATGGAAGCTCAATGGAATTGAATGGAACTACTTAGAAAAGCCGGTTTCATCCTTTAATGAATAGTGGGGTGTTGTGAGCAGAGGCAATTGGTCTTCCAGCATCAAAGATAGAGTAAATCTTTCTACTTACATTCTTTGGTGGTTTTGGAAGACTAGAAACTTATGGATTTTTAGGAAGGAAAAACTATCAGAAAGACAAACTTCTGAAGGGGCAAGAACAGAGTGGATGGAGTTCATGCTAACTTCATCTAGTATTGAGAAGGAGAAGCCTATGTTCATTCAGGGAGAACAAGCTAAATAGAGTGGTGATTTTCCCAGGGTAGGACAGTGGTCTTTGACTGTCAATGCCTATACCTCTTCCCCTAGCATGATCTCTGTTGCATGTTGTGTTGTTAAAGATGGTGAGTGCACAATTAATTTCAAGGAGGAGCTGGTTTTTATAGGTGAATCAGATGGGATGTGGCTTGAGGCAGTGAGGTGGACTTTGATGCAAGCAAGTCAAGCAGGTTGGAGTTCAATTAGCTGCATTTTGGCTAACAAACTTCTGGTGAATAAACTGAACAAAATGGATAATGCTGCTTCTTGTCATGATGTGGTAGTGCAGGATATTTGTAACTTAGTTAGATCTTTTGATTTCTCTTCTTTTGTTTTCTGCACGTAGTTGTCTGTGTTGTATCTGTGGTTTCATATTTGTATTTGCTATTGGCTTTCTATAGCCGTGTTGTTAAGGGGTATCATGTAAGCCTCTGTGAAACTTAACAATCCTTAGATTGCTATATTTGTACTTTCTGTTTGAGGTTATAAAATTGTCTTTGTCGTTGGAATAAAAAAAAAGAATAAGATTCTTTATACTAATTTGAATAGTTGCTACTGTAGTGAATATCATTCGTTGGAGTTGAATTTGAGACCCCTGTCAGTCTTTTGTTCCATTTCACATAGCACATGATATTCTTGGGTTTAGTTACGCACGTCTTTTACTCTAATTACAACTACTGTAAATATAAGGCTATTATTGTAAATACAAGTTGGACGGTTTACATGTGATCACATTAGGGTTGTATAAGAGGTAGACTAGATGATTATGTTTATGTTGCGATTATGATTTTAATTCATTATATTGAATAGACTGCATGGTATTCCCACAGTGAACATGTTGATCGCTCACTCCCACTATTTTTCCCCTTTATCAGGTTGAGCTGGTGGCAGCGGCAGAATACGGACGAGTGGGATCATACTCCGTGATTATTGAACTGTTATTTTTGCTTCCGCTATTTATTATTGATATCATGTGGCCAGACCGTTATTATTATTTTGAAATGTTGAATTTGAGACTGGATTATGTACTTTGGCATGCTTTGAAATTATGAATTGGGATTTGTTGACGTTTGTAAGGATGATATTATCATTGAAGCATGTTTAACTCGTTTGGCTAGTTATGATGTTTTGGGATGGTTTATTTTCATTTGCTTAAGTTGAGACTTAAGATGATTAATGGAGATAAGTTGAGTAATGCCCGTTTAGAAAAAAATTAAAATGATTTGCAAAAACTAAACTCTGATTTTTAAAAAAATATTCGGTATTTTTCTTCTAAAATACTAGGGCGTGACAACAATACAAAAGAACCAAAAAACTCTCACTTGGGGATAATACCTTGCTTCTGAAAATTGAATCAGTCATCGAACCAGTGAAGCGATCAGTTCAATGGTTCACTGGTCGGACCAGTGGTCAAATCGGTTTAATGAATATACAATTTTTTAATTTATTTTGTGTATAAAATATGATTATATATATTTTATCATTAATTTTATAGTTTATGACATTTCTATAAATAAGAGTTCAATAACAAATAAATCCACAGTGTCGAATAATGTTTATAACTTTCTGGTTTAATTTTATTTTTTTTATATTTAAAATTTTAATCTAAAATTTTAATCTATATTTAAGTTAGAAAATAGAAAGAATAGGAATGCCTCTACTTTAATTTTTAAATCGGATTTTAAGTTATTTATGATTGATTAAAAAAATAAAAAATAAAAATTATGTACATAACAATAAGATTAAATTGCTTCTTTCTTCTTCAATAAATTTGGAATAGATATAGCTCAATAGATAGCCCAATACAAAAAAATAATACATTTTTATTTGAGGAATTTGCACCACTTACCATCAGATATGATTTATATTACATTTATATACCCCTTATATTCTTATTAGTAAAATTACTTAATCAAGCAAAAAATATTTCAATTTTACTTGATATCGGGATATAACCGTTATTACCTTATTTCGGGCAAATTAAATGCAAATGAGATCCTTAATTTAGATTACATATGTACTTACCTAAATAATCGGATATGATAATTATTACTCTCACTGCAAAACCACCCCACCGCCCACGTTCACATCTCTCTCTGCAAAACCTCTCAATCGTTTCCCCCAATTCACTCTTCAATGGCCAAGACAAAACTCCCTCATTCTACTCGAAAAAAATGGACAATTATTGCCGACGAAACACCACAGATTAAGTCGAGTTCGCGGCTTCGTAAAATCCATCCAAAAACACAACCAAACCTCGTTTAGAAAAAAACTAATCTTTGAAAAAATTGTGAACCCTAATCGCAAGTCTGCAGGCAAGACTAGAATGCGAAAAACTAATTAATCTCCCGTTTCAGACAATTTCCAATCCGACCCAAAACCACCGAGAAATATTCGGAGAACCCGTAAATTTAGAAGCTCAAATCCACCGAGAAATATTTGGACAAAGAAGACCTTCATTTTGAGTGTGAAAGTCAACCCAAAGAAACCGGTAGTGAAGAAGATTTGGACGAAGAAGACCGCCCGGTTGCATTGTTGAAGAAAAAAATAAGAAAATGCACAAAAAAGAAACTGAAGAAGTTAAATTAGTCAAGAAGAGAAGAATGCCTAACACTGACGTCACCAAGCCCCATCGAGATTTTCAGAAAGGGATAGTATATAAGGTAAATTTTTTTTCAAGTATATATTTTTATTTTCTATATCTAATGTGTTCAATTTTATTGTGTGTTGTTAAGTCGAATTAGATGGTGATAGTTTATTTTTGTATGACAATGAACAAATGTTCATGTTCCACACAACTCGATTTGTCTTAAACTTGTTATTTGAATTTGCTTTATGTATGCAATAACACACTGGTCCCATAGTGTAAATTGATATGTTCACATTGTACTATTTTGAGTTGTTTTGTGTAATAACACCCTGGTCCAATTTTGATCTATTTTCTACCTTTTTTTTTTTTGATATGTGAAATGATATGATCTTTTGTTTTGTTTAATGTTCGGTTAATTGATTCAACACCATTTAGTATATAGTTAGTATTATTGAAGTATATGTTTCATATGTTTGTTATGGTCTGAGTAGTTATATGGAATGGTAGCAATTATATGTGTGGACTGTTTCTTAGTAATATTTAAGTTTATTTACTGGTACATATCATACTGCCATTGTTTCAGACGATGCCACTTTTCATAAATTGTTTTTTTCTGATTGCTCATTATATGTTAAGTTCATTTCAAGTATCTGCAATGCATATTTCAGTGAAATTATTTAAAAACTTCATATACTGTGTTGGCCATTCCTTAGTATATATTTATTACACAATTCAAGTATATGCAAGGTTTATTTCAATAATATTATTTTAATTATGAAATTATTTGTCATAATTTTTTTTTTCTTGATTGCTCAGTATATGTTTAGTTTATTTCAGGTTTTATTTCAATGCAAAAGATTTAAATACATAAATTATTATTGTTGGTTAATAATGTTCATTATCATATATATGTTTTTTATTTTTCATTCCTTCCAGGAATTGCAATTGCTCATTCCGCATCCGAGGTATATAAATGTGAAGGTTCAAAACAACAATAATAATAGCAAAGATCGGTCCACGATAAGTGAAATCAAGAGGACGCTTACCACGGAACAATTTGGAGTTTTTAGGAGTTCACCATTTGGGAAGTTCTTGGATCTCCCTCACTGCATTGTATAAAATCAACTCATCAACCATATACTTTTACGCGAGGTTCATCAGACAAGGACTAATGAGATTTGTTTTGATTTCAGAGAGAAATTGCTCCGATTTGGGATAGAGGAGTTTGTTGCTATAACGGGATTGAAATGTACTGGAAAGAGCAAGAAATTGAATATTCCAAAGATTTCTGATGGTCTGCATAACAAATATTTCGATGGGGTTGAATTAAGCCGGAACCACATCAGGTGGCAGTTTCTAAAAAAATCATGGTCGAGTGATGAAGATGCTGCGAAATTTGCTAAGTTACATTTACTAGCAAATTTCCTCATGGGCTCTCAAGACTCTCTTCATATAGACTGATGTTACGTTGACATGATTGACAGTGCAGAGTGCGATGATTTTTCTTTGAGAACCGATATGTTTGAGTTTACTTTTTATTACCTGAAGAAATCAATTCATACTAGAGTGCAAATGCACATACTTGAGAAGGCTGAGGGAGGTGGTGACCTGTATCAGTGTTATGGTCTTATATTGCCTCTTCAGACATGGTTCTACGAGGTATGCGGCACTGCTAAGGGTGTAGTCTGCATCTACGTTGGTGTACATGATATTCCAAGGATAATCAAGTGCGAAGTTCGGTATAATTATACTCGTATTTTTATGGAGAGGACCTTTTCAAATCTTCATTACTCCAAGGTAATTAATTATGTTGTCTTATATATTTCTATCTTGGTATCGATAACAATTTTCTTTTCTTTTTTTGGTTTGCATTCAATAACATAGTTCTCACCGAGTCCGAGAAACAGACTCTTTTGTTGGACTCATTTTTCAAAAAATAAAAATAAAAATGAGTTCACTCGAAATGAGATTCCATCAAGTTCCACATCACCACATTCCAACGATGTGGATGTTATAACCCGTCTCAACTCAATTACTGCTGAACTCGAGAACTTGAAGCAGGCATTCTTCGACTTCTCGAGATGTGTTTTTGCCGAATTTGATTTGCTCAAAGAAAAATTCATTATAAGTTCATGGTTGATGGTCATTGCTTTTATGTTCAGTATATTTGTGCAGCAAGTATACAATGTCTGTGAAAGTATTTTTTTATTTTTATTTTTTTTGCATCATATTGTGATGTGGTTTATGTGCAGTATATATTGTAGTGCATGTTTGTACATATTTCTGTTGGGTTCTGTTATTTGTTTTAGAAAGTATAAACGTATCATGCATTGTTCAATATATTGACACATTATGAAATTGACTATATTTTTGTATATTGTTTCTTTGCTTGTTCCTGTTATAATGTATGTGACTCTTTCTTTGTCAGTTCCTGTTATGTGTGGCAGTTATGATATGATTATCTATTTGCACCACATTAACATTGTACAATAGGGTGGTTCAAGTAAAGAGGGCAAAATTACAAAAACGATACACTAAGTTGGGCGTTGTCAACAAAAGAGACAATTTGTTGTCCCTCACGGAAAAGAAACCCGTAGTTGGCTTTTTGCACGAAAAAGATACAAAATTACAAAAATGATACACTAAGTCAGGCATAAACAATCCAAAGTTTTCTAACTTAGAGTATCGTTTTTGTAATTTTGTATCTTTTTCGTGCAAAAAGCCAACTACGGGTTTCTTTTCCGTGAGGGACAACAAATTGTCTCTTTTGTTGACAACGCCCAACTTAGTGTATCATTTTTATAATTTTGCCAAGTAAAGAGCAACACCTCAACGAAGGTAACACGAGCGAAGTTCGAGGTGGAAATGAAATGTGTGAGGACATTCTTCACATATCAACTGAAAAATAGACGGTTTTATTTGCGATTATATATATATATATATTTTTTTTTTATATCTCATTTATCTTAGCACTTATATTAAATAATTCATTAACCCTTTTATAATGTTCTTTGTTATGAATAAAGCCTATTCAGAAGCCCTGTTGGGACAACAACCGAGGTTTCGTTATATTTTTTTAATATCATTTTTTAAATTATATTTGAGAATCCTTACTTTTGTTTTTATATTTTTTTTTTTTTGTCAACTTCATAAAATCACGTTTTTTTTAGATGGGTGTCAAATCTCCTGAAAGAATCTTGAGAACAAAATCAGAAGCACTTCGAAATAGCACAGAAGACAAATTAAGCATCTCTTATTGCAAAATGCTTGCAACATCATGTGTTATTACATGTATCAACTTTTTTTCGGATCAGTTTGTACCTATTCAAAACTGTGACCAAGCCTGATATCCCTATAACAAGCAGCGTTGTCGACGACGATGATACATTCCCCTTGATCAACACACAATTCTTGGAGGAATGTGACAGGAGTGCACAACAAAAGTTAAATGATGCATTAAAGGAGAAAGAACAGGTAACGACATATTAATTTATCCAACTAAGTTGTAGTCAAGTACTTAAATATATTTTAGCTATATATAAACTTTATATTTGAATTTGTTTATATATTACTAACTATACAATTATGCAGGTAGGTGTCCTCAATCAGCCACATCCCGTATTTAGGTATGCTTTAATTGGATCTCAGCCGTCTTTTACTGCTATAATTGTTGATCTATCACTGACACCACCATTAAAACATGCTATTACAGCCCACACAATAATGTAATTTCAATCACATGCATTTTTTTATTATATGTTAGTCTTTCAATCATTTTTATTGTAATAATAATAATTTTATTTTCTATTTTTTCCCAATATATTCAGTCTGGCCATGTCGAGAAGAATGTAGTTGGAGAGTGAATTCAGTCTGACCCTACCGAGAAGAATGTAGTTGGAGAGGGAATTCAGTATGGCCCTGTCGAGAAGATTGTAGTTGGAGAGGGAGTCAATCCAGAGTTAGCCACTGCACAACAGAACAATGCTATAGTTGTGTATAGTCCACCCATAGCCGCAGCGAGGCAAACTTTGAAGTCGAAGAGGCAAGCGACGAGAGATGTTCGTCCGAAGAAACAAATACGACTTCAGAAATCATGTCCATTTGACATCGACTTTGGCATAACTGTTTCTGGAAAGGTGGACACGTCAGAATAAAACAACTGGATTGCTTTGGGATTGATCAAGAACCCTCGTAAAGTCGCTAACGGGTCAATGAAACCGCAAAAATTACATTCTTTTTTATTGCGTTTGGTAAACTGACACATATACCGAACATATCATTGATGTATAACTTGGTAATAAAAATATTTCAACAGATATATAATTGTCCAAATATACATTAAATATGAGGACTGAGGTTGTACAGTGGAAAATGGATTTCATTATTTGATCACAATATACGAGACATATACTTGGTATTTAATGGAGATAGTGTATACATATACCGTACATATACTAATAATTTTTATTTCATTGCCAGGTACAATTATTATAGTATCAAGAACAAAATATTGAACGTACCATTTGATTTCAACGTCGCTGTCGTGACGGATAAAAACTGGTTTTACCACATTCATCAGACGGGATGCTTCCTTAACAGCAGTGTAAGTACCATTTTGTATGACAGTTCTTTATTGGAGCTTGGTTACATAGATTGTAATATAACTGATTTGGTTTTTTGCGTTGTTAAATTTTTACATTTTTTTTTTTTGTTTATGCGCAACTTTTTTTTTTGCAGCATTTGGATGTCGTGTTCTATTACTTTAGGAGGATTGGATTGTATGGTAACTGTGCCGCAGTTAGGTACACAACGACTGATGTGTTGTTTGACCAGCACATTAAGTCGTCGTACGAATTATTTTTGTCACAGTCTCGTAACTATTTTGTCTTCTCTGTTGATGATATGATCGTTGACTACATCTTGGGGTACAAGTAATATGTGGAATTTATTGGTTTAATATTGATCATGTCATATTCCCGATGTGTTTGAAAATAAATGATGTTGGTCATTGGATAATGGGATGACTATCTTTTGATGATATGAAACTTCGCATCTGCAATTCAATCCGCTCGGAAGATTGTGATAAATTTGTTACTGAGAACGTGCAGGCGTATGATGAGCTTATTCCCATTTTTTTAGTATGGTGAAGTTTTCGTAAAAAAGGAGTGGCCTGTAACGGTGATGTTATCATGGTTGATAATCTTTCCTGGTAGAACAACAGGTACAATACATGAATGCAAATTAATGTAAATGACGTATTTTTGTCTATTTGTTTTCCTTATTTCTTATTATTATTATTATTATTATTATTATTATGAATTTTGTAATTCTATATTTCTTTGTTTGTGGTCAGCGACTGGGGGGTGTTTGTTGCATCTTTGTCGAATATTTCATTTCGGATCATGACATTACCAAGGGGAAGTTTGATATTAATGCGGAGAGGCGTAGACTTGGATTTCTGCTGTACAATCATGGCAGAAAGAAACAGAAATGGGTATGAGAGTGACGATGAATCGCCTGGTAGTGTGCCTGATGAAGTTCAGTTTAGTTTTCTGAACCGGAGAAATACATCGTAGACTGTTTAGTACTTTTTTTATTGGGTGTATGTGTCTTATATAAAGTAGTATGATTGTTTTTGTCTTGAAACAACTTGGTATGAAGATGATTAACATTAGTTGAACTTATATTATGTTATGTTTTATTTTGGTTATATAGTTGGTATATCCAATGCTCATGTTCCGCTGAATTTAGTTTACTACCTCAATCTTTTTATACTTTTTTTTATTTACTAACTACGTGGATATTTGAGATATATGTTCTCACATTATCCTTGTATAATTGTAGTTTGTACTTCTATTAAATTTTTATAGGTTATTTTATGTATACTTATTAATTATATATACCAGCTATACAGTATATAGAACAAGTATATATACCAACATTATGGCATATATATCCACTATATACACCACGTTATGTTTTTATATTATGTATATATATTGTAAGTTTTGAAGATTGGCAGTAAATCGATGAACCTTCATCTGTCACCATGTTCAGACAACTTTGGAAAAATTAAGTGAAGTTTACTGAAAACTCCTTTGATTAATTAGTTACATATTGGTCAAATAATGCTGACTAATACGTGTGTCATTTATGCAGTATCAATCAAGACGCGCCTTTCTTGCTTAAGAAGATACAGTAGCGGGACTTACCATATATGAACATGACTTGGCAGCGAAGTTTTGTAGAGGACATACCATATGGTGATCAACATAAAAGGGCGGCGAGATTCTTGAAGAATTAAGCAGTTTTGATCTTTTGTTTTGTTAAAAAATGAGAATTACTAAGTCTTGAGGTTTCGAGTGAGTTTGTATTTTATTTTGTTTTGTGTGAAGAGATCGATTCTGAGGAGTTGATTGTGAGAGATAAACAAAGATTGAACAGAGGTTCATTCTTTCACAGTTTGACGGAATCAAACAAGAAAAACCACAAGGGATTTGTGGTCGGATAAGTAGTTGTGTGGATCATTGTTCAAGTAGAGTGTAGAGGGAGTCTACATTGTAAACCCTTGAACGATGTTTGAGATATTCGCATTAATGAAAGAGATCCGAAGGGAAAGTAGGACGCTCCCCTGAAGGTTCATTTTTAATTACTTTTACTTCCGCAATTGCAAGAATCTTCTTTAATTTCAGTTTAATCAGTGTTATGCAACTCTGAATATTTTTGATACCTGTATCAAATTTCATATATAAAGCAAAATTACATAATATACGAAAAAATAAAAATATTAAACATATAATTAAATATTTCAAAAAACGAGGAAGTAATAATATTAAATAAGATTGAACTAAAAACCATTAATATTGTACATAATAGCCCTTTGACTTTCATCTCATTGGATTCTGGCAAGTTTTCACATTGTGGCCTTTCTCATGACATTTGTTGCATCTATTTTTTGATCTATGCTCCAATCCCGACTTTCCCCGTTGCTTTCGTGGTTTCCATGGCCTAACTCTTGCATCTGGAGGATTTACCAATCTTGGGGTAGAAGGTGCTTCAAACGTGAATGTCTGATTACCTTCTATTGGTACAACAAAATCTTCGTAAGTTGTCAACATAGTAGAGGTTAAGTAGTATACAGAACAGAATGAGACCGGATCCAAAATGGAGTGACTTTATCACACGTATAACATGCGGGCACGACAGCTCATGTAACAACCCGCCTACTATTTACTAAAATCATAATAAAATTTTTGCACTTTATAATTTGAAAACACTTATTTAATTTTCGAAAATTCTTGCTTAAATTTTTCAAAAACACTTTATCTTTCTCGCGAGATGCTACTAACTTACGTTATCTCTTCATCTCTTCTTTTTCTCAAGACATTTGGCATATATGCATCTAACTAAAATCTTACAATCTCCCGGACATTCGGCAAGTAAATCATGCATTGCATCCAAATCTAGTCCACTCCCAAGATTAGGTACCATGGAAAATAATGGATTTATACATGTAAAGTCTAATGTCTCATGATCTCATACATATCTAATAATGCAGAAGCTAATGATCAACGTACCTAGTTTACAAACATGTTCAAATAAATCTCATGACATGATTCATAAATATCCACTTGTTTTGACCACCACCACCTAGCTTGCTCACGCGCCACATTGGACTCTGTCACCTTAAAAAATAGATAGTGGGGGCGTGAGCATAAATTCCACATGCTCTGCAGAAACCTGTACAGAATATACATCAACCATAATAATCTATCATGAAATAAGCATATACGCAACTAACTGTTCTGATACTGATGCAAACTATCAACATCCGAACTTGTTTGGGAAATCATGTGCACACTCTAGATGGCATTGGCCGCTCCAGAACCTGAATGGTCGCATTGGCCTCCCAACTCAGGCGATAAATAGCTGCAAGGACTTACTTGTAGGTCGTTGTCATTGGGCAAAATCTCTTACATACATACCTCAAACATGGTAAATGATAATAGGCAATGAAATACTCAGTACGGGGTCCCACCTGATAGTTGATAATGCAAGTGTTGGAAGAGGATGCGTAGCTGGTGGAGGCTCGACTCTCCGTAAGCTACAAAAATATTTAAGCAAATAAATTCTAAGTACTCGGCTTAATCTAGAAACTTGGTTCTTTAATATTGATCTTACTAGGTTTGCTCGCTCGGTTTTTAAAACATTTAAATCTCATTTTCTAGTCTGACTTTAACGGCTAAGTTAAACAATTTCTGTCTTGAGGATTTCTAAAGTTCTCGAAAAAATTTCTAACTCTGGAACTATCTTTCTGACTTGATCTTGAACTGACTCGGTTCGGAAAAATGCTTAAGTCTCGGCACACGCTTGAACCGGAATTCAGAATTGGAAAATCTTGAACCGTCTAGACTACCCGAACCGGTTTGGCTAGACTGGACCGGCGGCTCGCTCGAAACCGGCCAAGTCGCTTGATGGCTAGGTGCAGCTCGGCTCGACCGCGGTCAGGGTCCAGCGCGGCCGCTCATGGGCACGCGCAAACCACGGCTGACACGGTCTCGCTGGCGAACGGGTCTTAGAAGGTGTGTCGCGGCCACTGGTGCAGAGGCGCGCTGGACCGCGGGTGGCGGGATATGGCATGCTACAGGCAGGGCTGGCGGCTAGCGTGGCGCGTGGGTGCTGGGCTGGCGGCTGGCGAGGCGCGCGGACGCAGGACTGGAGGCTGGCGAGGCGCGCGGCGCAGGGCTGGAAGCTGGTGAGGCGCGCGGTCGCAGGCTGGGGTCTGGTGAGGCGCACGCGGGCGCATGGGCGCGACTCCGTCGGTCCTGGTGCAGAGGCACGCCCTCGGGTGGCTCAGGACGGCAGGGTGCATGCGAACAAAGGCGCACGTGGTGGTGCATGCAGACAGAGGCTCGCGCGGACAGGGGCACGTGCAGACGCGTTACTTGATGCATGCAGGTGCGTGCGCGAGGCACGCTGTAGCCTCGTCGCGCGCAGGGCTGGGCGCGGGCTGTGACTTTGGCCGGCAGCTCGTCTGTCGGACGGTGACTTTTTCAGCGACCCAGGGTTCAACATATTCCTTATGACGTTTAGAGTCCATTTAGGCTATTAGGACTCGGGAGATTATGCTTGCATTTTAAAATTACTCGATGCTAAAAAATGAGCCGATCTAGGGTTCTTGTCCTCCGATCATCCTAACTCATTTCAAGCTGAAATTTTAACCATAAACTCAATATGATTTATGAAGATTTTATATCTATAAACCTCAGCAAAAACTCATCATATACGGCCCCTAAAAATTCACCAACTTCAGGCTAAAGTCTCAATTTTTAAACCATATCAAACGACTTCCAAAAATCTTCAAATTTAATACACAACCTCAACACCATATTTAAGATTTTTCGGAAAAATATCTCAGCAAAAAGAGATCTCTAACTTGTTCAACACAAAATGGCCATTATAGATCTAGATCTGCAATTCTAGTTCACATAGCAATTGAACTCCAAAATTTCTCAACTTTAATCCTCAACCTCAAGACAATATTATATCATTTTAGAAATTTAAATCACATTTTTTTCACTTCTATATCTCAAGATCTAAAAATCAAGCATATCACATCCTAAAAATGAGATCTCACATTTTCACTCCATTTTTCATGATTTTATATTTTTAAAATACTTTATAATTCAAATCCAAGCAATAGGAGGGAATTTATATGGATCTACCTCCTTCGGGAGTTGAAAATGAAAAATAGGAAATGTCTAGGGGTTGAGGAGGCTAGGCACGGCTGGATTTGGGCGCTATAGGCCCTGGGCGTGCGGATCTAGCTGGGAGCTGCTGGATCAGGGATGGAGGGCGTGGATCTGGGAGTTGCTGGGGCTTGCGAGCTGTGAGCTGTGGGCCTGGACGTTGGGAAGCTAGCAATGGCGTGTTGGGACGGACGCAAAATTGGGAGCTAGATGGTGGCCTGTGAACGCGCGTTGGGAGTGCGTGGCTGGAATAGCAGCTGCTGAGACAGAGCTGAGAGCTGGAGAGGCGCTGGGCATGGAGAGCTCTCGGCTGGGCTAGGCGCACGGTACTAGGTCTTGGTTGTGGTGGCTCGGATATGTTGGTGTGAGGACCGAATTTTTCTTGTGTGGTGGCTAGGGGATTTTGGACTATTTTTCTTGGCTTAGGAATTGTTTGAGTGCTCTTGCTTGAAAATGAAGAGATGAATGATAGCTTATGTGGGTGGCTTTATATATATACTCATGTGGAATTAGGGTTAGGGGACAAGGTTGGTAGTAAAAATTTGGATTTTTTCTACCTTGTCCCCTATAGTACATATATGTTAGGTAGGGTTTTAATGCTTGGTCTTGAATTTGAAATTGAAGACTAATTGGTCCAGACCCTAAAATACTATACTTGGTCCATTGAATTTAAAATATATTGGGCTTCTTGCACTAAAATTTTGGCCTCAGAAATGAGCTCGAAGAATGGGCCGGATGACTAGAAAATTTGGCTGGTAATTAAATTGGGCTGGGAATAAGTTGGACTTGGAATGAATTGGACTCGGCATTGGGCTGAGGCGCGGCACTAAGTGGGCCACGACTTCTCGGGCGCCTATGCGCGGGTTTGACTTGGGCTTGGGCTCTTATGAAACATTCTCGATTTTTCTAACGCTCGATTCGGGATAAAATGGCTAAGTTCACGGCCATTTTTCTAAGGAAAAATGAATTGGTACTTAGGCTAGATAAATTCGATTTCGGAACTTAAAATCGAACGGATCCTCTATGGCTTAGACTTAGAATTTATTAATCAATTTTTATCCTCGGAAAATAAATAGAACTTAACCTAAATAGGGCTTGCTATTTATGGAACTAAAGTCGAGCTCATAAATACTAAAAATGTTCGGGGCGTTACAGCTCATCAACTTGAAAGCGTGGTGGCATTTGCAAGACTTAGCTTCTATGTCTACTATAAAAGGCTTGCAATCAGAAATCACTTTATACACTTTGTCACTGGCTTTCTATACTTGGTTACATATCAGTATATGTGTAGTATATTAGTGGTTTATAACAAGTTATAATACACCAGAAAAAGAAAAAAAAATCCTTATTGAATATCTTGTTGCCATTTGGTAATTAGTTTCCAACAACCTATGTGGCTTCTTTGCAAGAGGAGTAAAAGTGGCCTTCGCTTCATCTCTGTTTGCCACATTCCACCGATGTTCCATGTCTCTAAGTGCCTCTAGTAATGGTGTTATCGGTAGGTCACGGACGGATAGTATGGCAGCATTTATAGACTCAGCAGCGTTAGATGTCATGGCAAAGTATCTATTATTGGGAAAGTGAACTCTTGCCACTTGTGAATGCCAATATCTTCTAGATATGTTACCACACTTGGATTCAACTTATTTAACTGAGACATATGCTTATCGAACTCCTCTACGGTATAGGTCTTTGCTGCTGCATAAAATTCCTCCTTTACTGCTTGTGATTCAGTCTTGTAACGCATCTTCAAATTGTTTGAGATGTGATAGGTGCACAGTGTTTGAGATATGATAGGTGCACAGACAATGCGCCGCATAAGGGAATACTTATATAAATTAGAGATGATCAATCAGAACTATATATATGTAAAACGAAAAACACACTTTAAAATATGAATATGTAAACTACCAGGGGTGGATCTAGCAAATATTATGAGGGTGGGCCTAATTATTTAATGAAAAAATATAAAATATTATAATGAAAAGTGCAAATATAAAGACATACTTTCATAGTCATTATTTACGAGTTTCATGGCCTGATATCGCTCGATGACAATATTATTATCAATTTTTAGGAGGGTGTCACTTTCTACATAAACTAGTGGTCTATAAGTTAACCAATCATCACTCATTCGATTGCTCAATCTATTCTTAATAAAATTCATTGCGGAAAATACTCGTTCCACGCTAGCTGTTGCAACCAGTAAAACCAACGCCAAAGTTAAAGCTTGTAAACTAAATGAAATGCTCTATGCTTCTTCGACATGTCACGCTTAAAAAAGCCATAAGCAATTTAGAGATTAAATTTGCAATTTCTACATAAAAAGAATATATTTTCCACTACCTAAAAAATAAAAAAGGAATAATTTTATCTACACCCAAATAAACATAAAGGGATTTTATTATCTTGCAAGTCCTCTTCTCGAATAATTGGAACAATAATTGATAAGTTTTTTTTTTACTATTTTCTCTCTTTCACCTCGCCTTTTACCCTATTTTTTCTCTTCTTATTTGCCTTTGTTCTTGCCTGAAGTACTGCCAGCCCATATTAAATTCCTATAATGCTGATTTATTTGCTAAAGCCTTTATTATATTAGTCTTAATTATTTAGGCTCATAAGTAGATTTTTTTGGTATGGATAATATTACATGGGACTTTTTTTCCTCTCAGTATGGGCCTAGGCCCATACTAGTCCCTATAAGTCTCTGCCACTGTAAACTACGCAGTATATGTCACATAAAATAAACCTAACTATTATTGGAAATATACTACTACCTTTTCTACTGCGTGCCTTATGTTTTCATGACCATATGAAACAGTGCAAAGACCCTCCCTCTCACCAACAACTGCTTGCAATTTTGAGAAAACCCAGATGTAGGAGTTATTATTTTCTGAGTCAACAACGCAAAATGCAAGTGGTAAAATGTTAGAATTTGCATCTGGACAACAAGCTCTCAATAAAATTCCTTCGTACGCCGACATTAAAAATGTAACGCCGACATTAAAAATGTAACATCGACAATAAAAATTGGATGACAATGTACCCATCCTTTAATAGATGCACCGAGCGCCATGAAAACGTATATGAAATTCTTATCCCATGTAGTGCGCAACGTCACAATGCTACCCGGGTTTGATGCACGTACCTTGTTAAGATATTGATGAGTATAATGGTATGACTGATCAACTTTTCCACGTACCTCATCAACAGCTTTGCGTTTTAACCTCCATGCTTTGTGATATTTCAAGTTTATCCCAAAGAGACTATGCATGTCGTCAATGATATCACCGGGATTATATGCAGTTTTGTTGTTAGTGAATTTCGACTTGATAAAACTACTAACAAGGGTTGAGGTCGCCTGGTTGCTTGTAAGAACATCCAAAGCACAAATATGTTCATTCCCCACGCTCTTAAAAGTGTTTGACTAACAAATACATGATGCTTTCACAAACCATGTACAATCGCTCGAGACACAGTTGAAATAATATTGTTTGGACCATGACTTGTCAACCTAGAATTGATATTTATGCTTTATAGCATGCATGGTCAGCAACGTCTTCAACGTTTCTTTATCCTTTAGTAAAAGACCAGAGTCATAAAAATTTCTCCACTGTCAACCCCAATTCACTGCCATGGTTTATATCCAGTATATTCTCGGTATATGCTGCCGCTTCTACCATCTCTTCAGCAACGTTCCTCACGAAAGACAGGAAATTTATCGAGCCATTTGAGATATCAGGATATATGTCAAGCTCTGGATAACTCAAAGGAGCAATATTTGATTCTTAATTCGAAGAACCTATATTTTCTTTCTCGAACGAATTTTGAGCAATAATCCGAGATTTCACCACAACGCACACTGGATATTTCGTGTAGTCAGCTTCTTTGGATATCAAATAAACATAGAAGCTAAGGCTGCTATCTTTTCGTACCAAAACACCAGAAAGATGGTAATTCACGTAATCATTCATGACCTATTCACCCCCCTGATGTATGAAAATCATCTTATTCGAATCCATCTAGAAAGAAAATAAAAAAAAAATAAAAAAATCACATAACATATACCATCGATAAAATAAATCAAATCATGGACGTTCGAGTGTTCGTTAAAATCCCAGAAAAAAATTAAAAAAAAAAACTAAATACACAAAAAATAGCAGGAACACAAATTCAAAGAAGAAATATACCTCAGAATTATCGTCCTTTCACTATTTTTTTCCTGTTGATGAATCGTTCTTGATAGAAAATATACACCTCCAAATGA